TGCAGCCATGTCCCCTGGGCCTGGCTCTCCCCTTTCCTCTGCCCCTGCCTTGTCTCTGCTGCCATGAAGAGTTGTTTCATTATTATCTTGTCCCCAAGGTGCTGGGGCCAATTGCTTCCCAGTCAGGCTCCTGGAGCAGCAGTGGCTTTTCAGAGCCCAGCCAGAAATGAGCCCTGAAGCAGCAGCTCTGCAGTGCTGGCCACCAGGCCGGGGTGCCAAGGGAGCCTTCTGGCCATGGCCTGGAAGCAGCTGCTGCTGCCAAGGTGCCTTTGGTGCCTCAGGCTGTCCCTGGCACAGCTCCCAGCACGGCACTCTGCACTTGTGCCCGAGCCCTTCCCTGGCTTGGGGCTGGCCTGGGGCTTTTCCTGCAGCGGGATCTGCCCTGGCCATGGCACAGGAAAGGCAGTTCCTGCTGGAGCAGGAGGCTGTGCCTGGAATGGGCTCAAACAACTCCAGCAAAGCCCTGTTCACATCAAAATTGCTCCCTAGAGCACTATAATCTAATAATTGTTATAGCTCCTCTAGTCTGGAGTAAATAACTCTTTTTCTTTATTTAGTCTGTGGTGTAAATAAATCTGTCTAATCATAACTCTTTTTCTTTATTTAGTCTGTGGTGTAAATAAATCTGTCTAATCATGCCAGAATCAGTCACAGTGGCATTTGTATAAATACATCTGATATTCCATTGTTAATCCTGTGGGGAAAATTGCACTACGGTTCAATTCCACCTGTCCAGTCTTTACACATAAACCTTTGACAAATTCTAGGGCTGGGACTGGATCCAGCTGCTCCCAGTCTTCTCTCTTAGAAAGAATTTAAAAGTCTAGGAAGCTTGGAGGGGTTTGAGGATCCGTGGTGGATGTTGGGTGTCATTTCTCCACCTCATGACTCAGCAGGAGTTTCTCCAATAAAGAAATAAAGCTTTTGCCTGAAGCTCCCACTCTGCCCATGACAGGAAGCCCTGGGAGTGTCTGTGACATCCCGGCTCTTTGGCAGCCTGGGGACTCCTGGGATGTCACCGTGGAGCCCCTGGGAGTGCCTGTGACAGAGCGGTGCCTTTGCAGCCCAAGGTCCCCTGGGATGTCACCATGGAATTGCTGGGACAGCGTCTGACCACACGACTCTTCAGCATCCCCAGAAATCCCTGGGAAGTCTCTGTGGAGCCCCTGTCTCTGCCTGTGACATTCCGGCTCTTGAACAACCTGGAGACTTTTGGAATGTCCCCATGGAGCCCCTCTGAGGGCCTGTAACAAATCTGACCCTTGGTAGGCAACCATCACCAGCCCCATGTAGCGATGGTCTGATTCCATGGCCGCCATCACAGCCCCTGTTGCTATGGGCAGTCCCTTGGCAGCTCCATGGAGACCCCATGCCAGGGCTGGTTGCCATGGACACCAGCTCAGGCCTGGAGCCAGAGCCCGTTGCCATGGCAACCATTTGCAGTCCCATCCCCAGGCTCATGGGATCCCAGAGCCACAGAATTGGCTGAGTTGGGAAGGAGCCATGGGGATCCTCCAGTCCAACTGCTGGCCCTGCACAGGACACCCCAACAATCCCAGCCTGGGCCTGGCAGCGCTGGCCAAACGCTGCTGGAGCTCAGCCAGCCCTGGAGCTGGGAGCCTTCCCTGGGGAGCCTGTTCAGTGCCCCAGCAGCCTCGCGGGAAAAACCTTTTCCTCACATCCAGCCTAAACCTGCCCGCCTCAGCTCCAGCCGCTCCCTCCACTCCTGGCCCTGGGCACCAGAGGGAAGAGGTTCCCACAGCCCCCAGCCAGGGACCCGCTCCCAAGGCTGCTGCCATGGCAACCAGGCCTGGCACCAGCTGGGATGCTCGGTTCCCATGGGCTGGGCTTCAGGAATGGCATTCCCCAATTTCCTGCTTCAGCTGAAACCGCGCTGCCGCTCGCTTCCCTCCCAGCTCCCATGGAAAGCACAAAAGGCAAAGATCCCAGGCTGGGATAAGAATAATTTATTGAGAACAGCAATGAGATGACGAATTAACACAATCAGAAATAATTCTGGAAACAGAAGGGATAAGACAAATTATTTACAGGGAAAACTAAAATGCCACCGACTGGTTCTTCCTGGCCACATATTTCCTCCTGCCAAGAAAGGACACCCTTCTCCTCTGGTGAGAGAGAGGGAGTCCTTTTCCTGCCCCTGGCAATGACCTGAGATGGGATTGAATATACTGACAGGGCCATCGAGATGGACAGACCCTCATGTTCTTTAATCCCACATCATGACATTGCCATGGGCAGGAAGAGGTAGAGGTGTCTTCCCAGCATGGATCCCAGGGAACATGGATCACCAGGTCTCTTCCCAGTGTCGGTCCTCCAAGGTGGGATGAAGCTGGAGCTGTGGAGAAAGCTCTTCCTGCACTTGGGCCACTGGCAGTGCTTCCCTTAGTGGTGCCTCCGTTGGTGTTGGGCCAAGTTAGACCTGTCTGAGAATCTCTTCCCACACTGGGGACACTTGTAAGGCCTCTCCCCAGTGTGGATGCGCCGGTGGATGATGAGGTGGGAGTTTCGCTTGAAGCCCTCCCCACAGTCAGGGCAGCGGAAGGGCCTCTCATCCGTGTGAATCCGCTGGTGCCTGAGGAGATGGGAGCTGGTCTGAAACCTCTTCCCACACTGGGGACACTCATAGGGCCTCTCCCCAGTGTGGATACGCTGGTGGATGATGAGTTGGGAGCTGAAGCTGAAGCCCTTCCCACATTCCCCACACTTGTAGGGCCATTCCCCAGTGTGGATCATCTGGTGGCAGATCAGGCTGTTGCTGTGGCTGAAGCTCTTCCCACACTGCAAGCACTTGTAGGGCTTCTCCCCATCCTGAAGCTGCTCATGGACCACCAGCTCAGAGCCCTGGCTGGATCTCCGGCCGCCTTCCCGGCACAGGGTGGGTCTTTCCTCTTCAGAGCACCCTGGGCTGGTTTTGGAGCCCCTCCTCCTGTGGGATCTCTGGGGATTTTCCTCCCTGATTGGATTCCTGTGCTGTGGAGCTGCTCAAATCTGCCTCTTCCATGAGGTTCTGCTGAGGGTATTTGTACTCCCTGGTCTCCATCCTCAGCTCCTTGTCTGGGGGAGGAAGGACAAGGAGAGGATGGGATTTGCCTCCGTGCCAGAGGGAAGGGGAAGGAGATCCCCCCAGTGCGTCCCCGGCAGGACGGCGTCGGCAGCGGGGTTGTCCTGCAGCCGGGGGCCATGCTGGGCTGGGAGATGGAGCAGGAGAGAGGGGGAAAGGGGCACTGACTTCCTCCTCACCTGCCTGGGATTCCTGGGACATCTTCCTCTTCCTTGCAGCCTTCTCATCCATCCAGCCAAGGTTTGGGAATGGGAAATCCTGGTTTGGGAGAAAACAAAGAATGAGCACATTGAGTTTGAAGGTCTCTCTACCCAAGTCCATCTCCAGAAGTCACCGGGAATCTGGGGTGTCTTGATTTAAAAGGAAAGGTGTTTACTAAGGAAAGGAGAAGCCTCCATTGAAATTGATAAAAATGTAAGCAACAGCCCCTTCCAAATTATTATAATCTTGATTTCAAAGTGATCCCTGATAAAAATATAGGAATAACAGTTCTTTACTAAAGAAATTAAAATGAAAATGCAGCAGTACAATAGAAAAAAACCAC